TTCTTAAAAAATACCCCAGGTTTAAAATTCAAAATTTGTAGAAATGTAGATTCTACCTTTGAATCGAATGTGAGAAGACATTTCTCCACTTTAAACAGTTAATTTTTTATTTAAAAAGTGAGGCTTGAAATTTGTTTTGTTTTCAACATTTTCTCCAATTGCCAATTCAAGTTAAAGGTTTAAATCAATGTTAGTATGACTGAAAGGAAGAGGTACTGTATTTAACTATGCTTCCAAATTTAAGAAATGGTCGATGATTTATTTTAAACAATTCGATTTTGCTCTGCATTTTTTTGTCTAGTCTTGAAAATTAAAGAAACACATAGAAAGACTGTCGACAAAGTTAATTGATTTTTAATTTTTTATTTCATACTATCACCGACATGTTACTGACTAAATGTATCATACAGAAGCCTTTCACTACAGATACTGTGTTTTTCAGTTGTGATGGAAGTGGAGTCCAAACAGGCTGAAATTAAGGGCAAGGGGAGGTAATACCCCTGTTTTACTCCTCGTACTGGAAGTTCCTTTAGTGTAGGCAATTTTTTTAATTATGTCTATTATATGTGTATAAGTATTTATATATCAGATGTCTGCTAACTAGTCTATTGCTATTATATAGAGCTTTGTAAATAAACATTACTGTAAGGAGAGTTCTAGATAATAGTTTTAAAGGGTGGAAGAAATTGTGGGTTACAACCAACTTTTTGGAAATTTTCAAAATATTGGATATGTTTTAACACACTTCTGGTACTTAATACATTATGTTATAATAATCCAGTAAATCATCATGATCGGGGGGAAAAAAATTATTGTTAGAAAAAAAATAGAAAATTTTGTGACAAACTGTATATTTTTATTTTATATATTGTGAATGAAGCAGACATTTCAGTTATTCAAGTGGACAGTGGATTTTTATAGCATAAAAACCAATGTTGAAAAACACTTAACAGCAGTAAGGAATCAATAGCAGTTCCAAGGAAGATGATTAAATAGATCTTGAACCAAGTCGGAAGCTGTACCATGAATGAAATCAGGCAAGTTTATTTAAGCCATACAATTTTTATAGATTCTATAGAAATGAACATCAGTACATCAAAGTACACAAGACAACAAACAATATGATTATTTTTATCTTTCTCATTCATAACACCAATAGCGAGTTCATTTACCATTTTCATATATTTTATAATAAGTTACGAGGTATATGAAAAAAATTATAATATCAAATTATTTTGTCCAGGAACAGTTATCGTCCTTTGATTTTCGTTGTCTACAAATACAGTCTAGTGTGGACAGTGTTACTTGCAATTTTTTTTAATACCCTTTCCAAATTTATTTCTTCCATGTTTTATGCCTCAAATAGCAAGTAGGGGGATGAAATTACACTAAAAAAATTTGGGTCATGAATTTTAAAATAGTGATCGATTTGGTCCAGCTAAAAAAGGTTAAAAATTAGTATTTCGGAAGCTGTCAAAAGAATTCAAGACACCTTAACATAAAATTGTACATATATTGAGTTAGAGCTGATGAAGTTTTCTATAATTTTGATATAATTTGTCCCAAAAGTAGTACACCACACTAAAAATATTATTGAGAAAGCACAGGTGGGATTTTTTTAGTTATCATTTATTGTCCAAAAGAAATGCACTACGAAATAACTGTGTTCTCTGGCCATTTTATCTTTACGGGGAGACAAAACAATAATGTTTCATTCAATGGGAGATTACTTGGATAATTTTTGTGCAGTTGGAAATCAAACCTTTTTCCAGCTCTTAAATTCCTACACAGACAGGACTGATGCTATATTATTGGGTAGTAAGAAACGAAAAAACTTTTATAAAGTTTAAGGATGATAGTTTAGTTAAATTGGAAAAATATATAATTTGTGTCAATTTTAATTAGGGCCCCGCCAAATGGCGGATGCCCTATAGTGATCAGTCTGTCCGTCCTTCTGTTCGTCAGTCCGTCCGTAACAAATAGTGTTAGCTCTATATCTAGAGAACCGTTATGATTTCAAAGTTTATACTTGACATGTATATTAACCAACACCAGAGGGTGTGTCATAATGTATGTACAACTTCCTAGGTCAAAGGTCAAGGTAAAAAACTTTGGTTTTAGTTGACAACCCCATGTCCTATGGTAAAGATCGTGTCCACTCTATATCTTGAGAACCGTTATGATTTCAAAATTTATACTTGACATTTATATAAACCAACACCAGAGGGTGTCACGTGTGTCATAATTTATGTACAACTTCCTAGGTCAAAGGTCAAAGTCAAAAACTTTGATTTCAGTTGACAACCCCATATCCAATGATAAAGATACAAATTTTTTACCACACATTATTCACAGCAGGGCCCACAGAGATGGCTCCCATCTCAATGATATCTAGTTCCTTTTAGGTTATTTCTGGGACATGTTTCATGGTATTTGGAGTAAGGCTTGGTGGCCTACCAGGGCTCGACATTACCGTTTGTCCGATTGTCCGGGACAAGTGGACACAGGCGTCGGGCAAGTGGCTTCACCATACTACTTGTCCGATTGGACAAGTGAAAAATCGATGTCAGATGTAAAACATATCAAATTTAAGACTTATTAATTCCCAAATAATTGAATGATTGTTTTATTGATCATACAAAATGAATTAAATATCCATTGATTGAACGTATTTGAACATGGAATAGGATCCCAGTTACGGCAACCAGTCCGGTAGCTACGAATGTAGTTCTTAAAAAAAATATATAACTTTTATTTAAAATGGTGTAGTTTTATTATTACACAAGTTCTGTAACTGAATGTAGATTTACTTGAAAAGGTAGGTTTCTAGCTTGAATTTCTGTAAAAATTTTGATTGATTTAAATGTAATCAGGCGTCGGTACATAGAGTAAATTGCCTAAATTCTAGCCTTTATTCTTCCCCGGAAGTAGATGGACCTACCCTGTTGTCAATCGAAACAAAATTTTGCAACGGAATGCCGGTCATGAGGCACTGAGATTGTACTTAGAAACTTCGAAACAAATGCCTAACATGAAACAGAAGTCCCAAGGTGGCTATCAAAATTATTTATTGGACAGCACCCCATTTATTTACTATGATTTTCAATTGTTTCAATGGGGGAAATAACTGGGTCCCCGTTCCTGTCAGAGGGCATATTTTGAACACTTCAATCTGCAATTGTAAGCTTTATTTTTGGGTTACATGGATGAAATTTGGGCAGAAACTTGAAAATTCAATAAGAAAAACAATGGTGTAATTATTTTTAAAATTTGAATTAAACTTTTTAAATTAAACAAATTTAAATTTATGAAATTTTTAAAAAGTTTGTTTTTCAATTTAAAGTTTCAGAAGGGGTCACAGTAAGGTCATTTTGATGGTATTATGTATTCATACACTTGTAAGTTAAAATGGAGGGATTTTTCAAAAAATATCAGCAAAGAATATTAGAAAAGAGCCACCTGGCAAGAAATAACAAATGTCTTATATGGGATCAGGGGACAACAAAAGATGGAAAATATGGGCTTATTTCTTTCCAGTATCATATTTCTGGGACCTGGAAAAAGAAAAAAGCCCATAGATTCAGTTTTATGGTTTTTAATTAGTTTTTGATAAGTTTTAATATTAAATACAACACTTTATGCCATTTTATGTGTCAAAAAAATTTGTGTGGGAATGCGGGTCACATTACTGAAGAGCCGCATCACATAAATAACCACAGAATATTTCGTAAACTCAGAAAATCTTGCCAGGGGCTCTCCAATTTTCCAGATTGGGGCCTGGATTTTTTTGGAAGATATATAAGGGGTAGGGCTATAGCTTATATAATCAATTTTAACTGAATGTACAACAATTTTAGACTCCTTTTTAAAGATTTTGGTGGTCCTTAAAAGGACCGTTAATTTTGTCTGTATCTTTTTCAGCAGTAGATGAATGCAGCTATATCTTCCTTTGATTTTGGAACTTTTGAAGAACAGCTTCTGGTAGGTATATTCTTCTTAGCAGGTATTACTCTACCATATGAATGATCGTCCTTTATGCTTTTACAAATGCAGCATCAAGTTTTGGATCAGGTTGCCCTTTTTCATATCTATCTGTCCATTTACTTCGATCCTTTTCTTCCACATGAACCTTAGTCTTCTGTCCGGTGCGTTGTAAATTTTTCTTTTTCCTTTCTGGAGTATTTTGGTTTACTTTGTTCCGTTCACACTCCCTTTACATCTGGTCGAAGTGTTTTAATGAACCTATTGAGATTTTAAAACCAATACATTCTGCTTTTTGTCACAAGGAATAAGCTATACCATTATTCAAATTGTGAATTATTGCCGATGCCCTTCAAATTTCTAGAAAAGTTCACATTCTTTGGTAAGGAAACACTTAGTGCTCCCTGAACAGCTTCACCTTTTTGAGTATTATGATTAAATTTCATTTTCATAAATACTTCTTCGCTAAGTTTCATTTTTAAAATTCCTGCATTATTAACTTGTCTTTGTTATCCATATTCAGGTTGGTTAACTTGTTTGGACCCAAGTACATAGATCTCAGCCACCAACAGTTTGCATGAGTGTCCACCACCACCACACACGTATGAACTAGTGGGACATTTAGAGCAGTCACAAGTATAACAACGCACAGTAGCATTAAGCATTCAGGCAGATCCAGGATTTCCCTCGACATTTGTTAAACTGTAGGAGGTGTCGTCTTGACTGGTTTTAGCTACAAGTGAGAACTTCTCTGCATCTAGCCTCTTCCATTGTATATTAAATGAACTTAGCTGACTGTTTGAAGACTAAGTCTCATGATTTATACCCTTGTTATGGGGTATGCTTCTTTGCATATGTAATTCTTATGAGATTTTTTTTTTTAATTAAAAAATTAATAAAATTAACTTTTTTTCAGCAAAATTTTTTTTAACTAGATTTCTATACAAATAATGAATTTATCTATCATGTGCAATTTACAGAATGTAAATATCTTTTAAACTAAAAAAGTTTTGCTGATTTTAAGAATATTTTCTTCATGAATTTATGATTTTATCCGATCAATTTTCTGGTATTTGAGATGTCATAGATAAGGATCAATAACTCTTTAACTGTTGGATCAAATCTATTGAAACTTTGCACAATAACTACTGAAATGTATATCTTTATTTTAAAAGTGCAGTTTTAAGTCTGGAAAAAAAATTAAAGTCTGACAGGAATAGGATCCCAGTTACGGCAACCAGTCCGGTACCTACGAATGTAGTTCTTAAAAAAAATATATAACTTTTATTTAAAATGGTGTAGTTTTATTATTACACAAGTTCTGTAACTGAATGTAGATTTACTTGAAAGGGTAGGCTTTCTAGCTTGAATTTCTGTAAAAATTTTGATTGATTTAAATGTAATCAGGCGTCGGTACATAGAGTAAATTGCCTAAATTCTAGCCTTTATTCTTCCCCTGAAGTAGATGGACCTACCCTGTTGTCAATCGAAACAAAATTTTGCAACGGAATGCCGGTCATGAGGCACTGAGATTATACTTAGAAACTTCATAACAAATGCCTAAAATGAAACAGAAGTCCCAAGGTGGTAGTCCGAGATTACTCTGACGTCCAACGGCTGTTTTGCCAGACAAGCTGGGGCCGTGGGACTTGTCTGGCAAAACAGCCGTTGGACGTCAGAGTAATCTCGGACTACAAGGTGGCTATCAAAATTATTTATTGGACAGCACCCCATTTATTTACTATGATTTTCAATGCGTTTCAATGGGGGAAATAACTGGGTCCCCGTTCCACATGCTGGCAGCCATTGACCAGGGGAATATAAGTAAGGGGGAAGGAAACCAATGTTAATGCTTCTTCTTAGTATAAGCCTCCTTGAATTAGGAGCACCTCCATATGGAGTTTTACCTTAAATTTAAAAGCTTGAATTAAAGTATGTTTCATTTGATTTTGCTTTTATGCATGACATTACATTAAAAGAGGTTTTATTCAATAAGATCTATATATTATCAAAATAATAGGTTAAGATGTAAAAATTAAATAAAATCTAAAAAGGCAGATTTTCTCACTGAAATTTTGTATGTACTTCATGATCAAGTATCAATGTATATAAAGATCAAAATAAAATTTATAAAAGCTTGTTTTGCCGCCATCAATAAATTAAAAAGGTTTAATTATATACAAAGTGGCCAGGTATATTTACATCCTTGGTTTAACCTTACCACTACTAGAAGAATGAATAGGTCCATAGGAGAACCTAGTGATTTGGGAAGTGATGATGATTTAATTATCGACACATGATAGTGACATTCAGTCAGAGAACTCAGTCTTGCAAAAAATCTTTCAGTCTTAAATAATAAAATGAATTTTGATGTGGTATTCTTTAATCATTGTTAATTACTGAGTAACAAACAAATTCATATAACATATAACAAAATGCTCCCTTCATTAGGTACAATGAAAGCTCAAGTGTTATAAGGGCATATCATCAATATGTAAGATTTTCAATTATGAATTCGGACAAGCGAGTTAAGAGTTCGGACAAGTTGATTTTCTTGGTTTATTATACTATAAAAAAAATATAGGGAAAATAATGTGCCCTGAGGATTGAAAAAATATGTAATCAGTATCGTTATAGGTTACAATAAACCTTTATAAATATAAGGAGATGTCGTATGATTGCCAATGAGACAACTATCCACCAAAGTTTAAATGAAGTGGATGACATAAATTATAGACAACCAAACAGCTTCAACAATGAGAAAAACCCATACCGTATAGTCCACTGTAAAAGGCCCCGACATGAAAAAATGGGAAACAATTCAATAGAATTATGACATACATGAACCAAATACAACCACTGAACTACAGGCTCTTGACTGGGGACAGGCGCATAAAGAATGTGGCGATGTTAAACATGTTTGTGAGCGCTCAACCCTGCCCTAACCTGGGACAGTGGTGTTCAGCACAACATAAGATCATTGGTTTACAATGTTATATTCTCACGGCTATAATGCCATATTGCTGTGAAAATATAACAGATCAATTGAAGCACCGATAGTTTTCTTAAACAAGTATATGTTATTAATATACTGTTTTGTTAAAGAAATCTTTCGTGCTAGGATTGATATGTAAAAGGAATAAATCAAACAAGTATATTTTTATGCCTTTGCCGTATTGGAGGGGGCATTAAGTGTTACCCTTGTCCGTCTGTCTGTCCCGTCCATCTCAAAAATTGGTTTCCATTCTCTAACTTTAGTTTGCATCAACCAAATGTTATGAACTTCTACACAATGCTTATGATCACAAAACGATCTATGTGGAAGTTGACTCATGCATATTTACAAGTGGGGGCATCTGTGGCCCATAGACACATTCTCCATTTATTTTATTATTTGTTTATAGGCTGATGTAATGACAATGATTTCATGGTGTTGGGAGTAAGAATTGGAGATCTGATACTGCTAACATGTTGGTAGGTATACAAACTTTTTTTAATCTATTAGTGTTTGATATCAATTTAATAATGGTTCAGGTATCAGAAAAGATTGAATTACATGGAGATATTCAGCTCCAGAGGAAAGAGGGTATATGATTGTCCAAAATGGTAAAAATACTGCCAAGCTTAGAAAAGAGAAATTGTTTTTGACTTTTTTTTCTATTTGTCAAGTTTTAAACTGAATACCCACTAGATTTCGTGAGTAATAGTGAACCACAAATTTTAAATGTTCAACAACGAAGTACCAATTTTCTATCAATCGACTTTCAATCAAATATCCACAGAATCCAATTTTTCCTCAATCCCCATGATTGTTGAATATTAAATGAATCCACAGAAATTCGATTTTCCCTCAATGCCCATTAAAATATCTGAATCCACAGTAGATTATTTTGAGGAGTTTAAATAACTGATTCAACTTTGTATTACAGGTTAGCATCACAGCTTGTCCATAGGGATACTGGCTGGGGTAGCATTTGGATCTGTTTCAAGGTGAGAATATATTTATTCATCCACATACAAATTTAATCAATTGATGAAATCTTGTGGACAGTTTAACTTTCTATAAATCTTTATTGTTTGCAATTTATATCGTCTTGATATTTTCTACTGTTACCTTAATAGATGTAAACAGATATTTTTATAGTTGAGAAGGTTTATAGTCCTTTTTAACTACTTTCACTTATTCCATCTTTAAACTTTTGCCAAATGACCATGTACTGAATCATAAAGAGAATCATTGTTTTTATGATAATAAAGAATTTTGTTTACTTGTAAAGGGGAGATACCCTCACATTCATTTGCAAGTGCTGTTACAAAGATAAGATGTCTTAATTATATTAAACTTTGCTTCTTATTCAGTTTTGTATTTCTTTCAATACAAATTTCCAAAGAATTCATTTCTTCAGTCAATATATGGAGAAAACAAAGTAAATGTCATAAAACTTGAACTAAACAATGAAAGTTTATCAAAATAGCCTGAATTATTTTACCATGTATGTACATTTTTCAAATTTTCAGCTTAATAACTTCTGCAATTGTCTGAAACTCAATGAATGATTTATGCGATACCGGTAATAGTAATTTTAACACCTTGAAAATCAAAATTGGTATATTAAGATTGCTTTCCATTTTATAACAAATTTAGCTGCACGATTTCTATTGCAATATTTTTTGGTAAATCAATAAATTTGAATAGAAAACAAGTATTTTTACATACAACAATATCTGTCTATTTAAAAGAAAAATTGCCACTCAAATATTTAAACATTACCTAATTCATATATTTTAACATTACTTAATAACTTTGAATTGTCAACAAATGAAATATTATTTTATTCCTTTTACAGGTGTGTTCCTGCTGCTGCCTTGTGTGTTCAATCCTGTGGACAATAATAATCATGCAAACCACATATATGTTGCATTTTTGTTTATTAAAATCCTTAAGTGATAATTCTGAAAGCCAAATTATTAATTTTTTAATGCTATTATTTATTTTCCATTTACTGTAAACTCACAAATTTTTGTTTTTTAATGCTGTTATTTATTTTCCAATTATTGAAAATTCACAGATTTTTGATATATTTTTTTTACTGAAAATTGCTACACCGAGATAGATTTTGCAAAAATAAAATTATATTTTAAATTTTGATAGCATTATTTATTTGCAACATGTCCTTAATGACAATAATTAATTTAAATAAATGCTTGCAAATTTTTTTTGAATTTACAGTATAAATATGTTTTCATTATTTATATATGCATGATATTATTATACATTGTATTTTGCTTTATAATAAACAAAATTGTATAATAGTTGTTATTTGAGAAGTACCAGTGTACTGTTTTACAAAGCATCCATTAGACTTTCATCAGTTTACAGACGTCATTATTGTGAACCAAATGATACTTTCCACAGATTCACTTGAAAGTTACCTGTCGATTTAAACTTTTGTAAGTTCTTTTGTCCCATCTAATAAATATAATAGCTATTGTTCTCTGTGGAGTTATTTCACTGGGACCTTTAAATTTCTTCTAAGAGAAATCTATCACTCATTGATTAATTTACCTGAACAAAAAATCAAACTTTCAATGGTGAAAATACATGTACCAATACTAAATAAGGACTCACAAAAACGCATGTGATGTTGTATTTATTCAATATCAATAATACATTTTCAATTTGTTCAATATAATTAACACTTATTCAAAATTTAAAAGTTGATTTATGACAAAATTTTCAACATTGTTCCTATTAAAATTTGTCTTTTTGTGTGTTTGACAAATAAGAACTAGAAAATGACGATGTTTAGATCAAGGCCTTCTTAAATGTATTCTATAACTAAATAAACAGCTGCGCCACGAGCGCATGATATGCTCGTCGTCTTGTGTGTGAGGTTTTATGCAATAATCATGAATAGTTTCTGAGATACGGCGCGACATGTGAAAACTCCCCTTTTTTTTAATAAAAAAAATCAATAACTCTAAAATAAAATTTTGAATCATCACCAAAAAGTGTATACAGATCTTTAGATTAATATAATTAAGAAGTGTGTAAAGTTTTAAGCAATAATCGTAAATCGTTTTTGAGATACGGCGCGACATGTGAAAAATACATACCGTGGGCCCTGTTTTAGTTACACAAAGTTCCGTATCTCAAAAAATTTTAATCTTATTTTCATCAAAAAGTATACAGATCGTTTGACCATCATAAGAAACAACTATATTAAGTTTCATGAAATTTCGATAAGTTCTCAAGTTGAGGTGGGACATGTGGACGCCGGACATTTGTATACCATAATACGTCCCGTCAAAATTTTGACGGGCGTATAACAAACACACAAAAATTGCAAATTTCAATAGGAACAATGATAAAATTTTTGTCATATGATTAAATCAATGTTATATTAAACAGATTGAAAATATATTATTTATATTGAAGAATAATACAACATCACATGCAGTTCTGTGAGTAATAATACATGTATTTTCATCAATTTAGAAGATCACTTTTTAACTCGGGTAAATTAATCAATGAGTGATAGATTTCTCTTAGAAGAAATTTAAAGGTCCCAGTGAATAAACTGCATAGAGAACAATAGCTATTGTTTTTATTAGATGGGACAAAAGAACTTACAAAAGTTTAAATCGACAGGTATCTTTCGAGTGAATCTGCGGAAAAGTATCCTTTGGTACGCAATAAAAGTTTTGCATGTTGGCACAGTGAAACACAGTGTGTCTGTTGAAGATGATGGTGTTTGATATGGATAGGTTTGTTTAAAAATAATATGTTCCACAGGGCGCAGGTTGATACGACCTGAACACTTAGGGCACTAGTATGATACAGCTCAGAATTTTGATTGTGATGAAATATTTGACACAGCATACATAGGTTTCTGACAAAAAAATTAGAATGAATGTGGTCTAAGAACTTAAAAATTTGAAATTGGACATTTACTTATTATGGTCCAATATCCAAAATATAAATGCATGGTTAGATTCAGCATATCAAAGAATTCAATTATTGATGAAATCAAACAAAGCTTAATTTTGGACCCTTTGGACCTCAATGTGAACCAATTTGATAGTGAGCCCAAAATCCAAAATCTAAAGACATGGTTAGATTCAGCATTATAAAGACCCCAAGAATTCAAGACTTGGAATTAAACCCGGGGTCCCCATTCAAATTGGTCAAGAAATACTGTAAATTCAGAAATTATTGCAATTTTTTTTAAAATGGACAAAAATGCGAGATTAATTATTGTTATTTCATGAAAATCTGCATACATATCTTTGTATCAGATATAAGAATACAAGTTATTATTGTGATACTCAATCAGTTGGATCATTTGCATTAATAAAAAGTTCGCAATTATTTCTGAATTGACAGTAAGCAATTTATACAAAGTATTAGAAAAGTATTATTTTTGGTCCTTATTCATAAACGGTCAGGGCCATAATCCCCAAAATTAATCCCAACTTTTCAGTTTTGGTATGGAACCTAGTGGTATAATTTCATAGACTTATACTTGGGAACTACCATTTGATTTTTATGGGGGGCTAGGATCGAAAATTTTGTCCTGCCTTTTTATTTTTCCCTCTATTCGGTCCTGCCTTTTTTTTTAGTTTATCCTGACTTTTTTTATTAAAATAAATTGTCATCCTGCCTTTTTTTTTGCAAATAATCTCATACTGCCTTTTTTTTTACTCAAAACTCCTGTCCAGCCTATTTTTTTCAAATTTCATCCTAGCCCCCCCTCCCCCCCCCCCCCCCTCCCCCATAAAAATCAAATGGTAGCTCCCTTAAGTTATTGTCTTGATACCAGAAAATCCTTGTTTTTTGCCCCTTAATTCCCTTTATTCCGATGTTGTGTTTTGTGTACTATTGTTTGTCTGTTGGTCTTTTTCTTTTTTAGCCATGGCGTTGTCAGTTTATGAGTTTGAATGTCACTCTGGTATCTTTCGCCTCTCTTTTTCAACGGTTTGGGCCATTACCCTCAAAATCAATCCCAACCTTCCTTTTGAGGTATAGAACCATGTGGTACAATTTCATAGAGCGTCATATTGTGTACTTACTAACCTTTGAACAGTTCTATATTTGAAGATTATTTTAGGTCAAAAGTTACCAAAGCTATAGTTCGGCAAGGTCACATTTTAACGTGGCCTACTCTTCACCTTCCTCAAATTTCATTTAAACCTCGCTTTGAATTTATATGTTGTGCTGGATGTATAGATACGAGACACGTCCTATCGGAATGGAAACGTAAAATCCAATGCCTCATGCAGGCAAATGCCACGCACTGCACGTTAAAGAATCCTTGTAATATCTCCTTAAGATGTCTGTAATTATTGGTGGCCTGTTGTAAGGTAAAATTTCTGCCCTATCTCACACATCCTCTTTCAAAAGAGGCAGTTTATATTTGTGCTAACAAGCCTTGAAGAATTGACGTATTTTGTTTTCGTCCTGAGTATGCAAGAAATACTGCCACTATGTATTCAACATGAACAAGAAACATTTGTTCTTTTATGCATAGATGTACTGTGATCCACAAAATTTGAAAAGTAAAATAACAAAAATACTGCACTCCAAGGAAAATTCAAAACGGAAAGTCCCTTAATATATATCAAATGGCAAAAATCACAAGCTCAAACAATACAAGTATATTACGGGAAATATACATGGGATCCCTTTCATTTAAATAAAAGTAAAATAACCATGACAATAACTTAAAAATATTTTCAGTGAATCAGTTTAAAGAGGGTCGTAATGGGGGTACCTTCATGACGAATAACGATAAAAAATCTAGCCAAATGACGTTAACGATAGTTTTAAGTGCATGATGATAAAATGTACTGTACACTTTCTTTATGACGATAAAGCAATGTACTGATATTGACTAATCATGTTAAATTCTTTCCAAAAAAAATGGTAACGATAAATTATTTGAGACCTCTGATGAATCACGATGAAATTTTAACCAATTTGATGTTAACGGTAGCCGAATATGACCGTTTGACGCCTGACGGTAAAGGGCATCCCTACCCTCTTTAAATAAGGGGAAAATAAACATGGGCAATAGCGAAATGAATATTAGTTCTAGCTGCTACTACTACTACTATAACAAAGAGAGTGGATTAGGTGGCTGCCTTGATAAATCATCTGGGAAAGATTTAATTTTTTTTAAACTGTGTCAAATATCTATGATATAAGTAAAGAAAATGCAAATTTAAAGTCACCTAAAGGAAATTTGGAAATTGAATCAAACAAATATTTAATAGGATTTGAAATTTTATGTTAGTTATATTTTTTGTATCCAAGTTACACATACTAAATTGAAAATAAGTTTTATAAGTATCAACAAAATCAATAATGGCAAAGTGAAATATCATCATGATCATAGTTTTGAATTTTTGAGAATCAAAGATTTATAGAAATGTTTTCAATTAAAAAGGATCAATAAAGCAGGTATTGAGTACAGGGTTGAAGCATTTATTTTATACCTCCGAGTAAAACTGGAACCTGATAGAATGCATAGCAACGTGTAATAACATTGAATCTATGGATTCATATGTTCAACTATACCACTGGATGTACCAGTAGAATAAAAATTTCTGGACTGGTAATCACAATTTGTATAAAGTATAAAGTATATGAAATTAAAGAACACTGTGGTAGTATATATAGCCGGGCCATGCTTTCAATGGGGATGATGCGGCTTTATAGCTTGGCATATATACTTATTGACGTCATAATCACCATGTAAAACGCCATAAGTGAGTGTTTACTGTATACGATCGAAGTAAAAGGCAGAATTTTCTTGTTTCAGGGGGGGTCAAATGTTCATGGGATTCAAAATACCTTATATGACAGATATTTAATTGACAATTTTGTTCAAATAAATGATGCAGTAATTGTAGACCAATGGTTTTTGTGTAATCATAATTTGTTCTTGGTCCCCTTATACTAGCAGGACTCAACTTAACTTATTTATACTGGACCCTTAATTATCTGGACCATACTAACTAAGTCTGAACTAATAATCTGCCAGTCTGTTATAGTCTTAACCCCATTCTCTGTCTGTACTTAACCAGTTTTTAATGTCTGAACCATATTGGACCAACGGTTTATTATTATAAACAATGAAATTATCTGAAATTTAAAAATTTGATTTTAAAAAAGACCCCATTGCAATAATTAACGATGTCATTAACCAATGGCTAATACTTAAATCCAACCAAAAAGTACTGGCTAAATTTATCCAGCAGATGGAACGTTTTATGCACTAAATAATGTTTGAGCAATAGAAA